ATATTTCTGTCCGCAGCCGCCGCATGATATACAGTAAACGCCCGAACAGTCCAATTTGTCTATCTTTTCAATTTGCGTTGGCAAACTGGTGAAAAGTGTTGATTTTTCCTTCGTGACCACTTGAATATTCCATTTACTTAATATTGGCCGTAGTTTTTGAGTTAGTTCGCAGGAAGGCAGGCATATCCATTTCGTGAATCTTTGATCGTCCTTATTGTCCTTTCATAGTCCCCGTTCTGCCATCGGCTTTCCACGGCCCGTATGTTCCTTTGTATCACTTCGCTTGTGTCCTTTCATAGTCCCCGTTCTGCCATCGGCTTTTCACGGCCCGTATGTTTCTTTGTATCACTTCGCTTGGGTAGCCATTACCGAGGAAGATTAAGGATGAAAAAAAATTGATTGAAAACCCCAGCTAGGAATCCGTTGGCTTGACGCAAATAAGGACTGTTTATCTAATAATGCAGGCTTTAAGCACAGATAGTTAATCTCCATTCCCATTCAGGCCATGAAATTGAGATTTCGATAACCAGGCAATTGTTGTAAAACTAAGCCCCGCTGAGGTATTGGATATATGAGCACATTTCGAGTTGCTGGTGGGCTGACTTAGCATGCACAGTTAGGATGCCAGATAACCGCCCCGTTGGCAAATGTACTCTTCAGAAAGCCTCGAAAAGTGCCTGCCCCAAATGCAATCAGCTAGACGAGATGTAAGAACCTTGTAGGACCACCGGACCATCAGCTCAGTAAAAAGTGCCATCATGAGAAATAAAGTCCATATTCTAAGAAAATTCCCGGAACCTCAAAGCTAGAATGTATCTTTACTAAATAGTACATTTTGAATCGTTTCTGAAAATTATCTTTCAGTTCACACAAATATTTTTACCAACGGAATATCACTCAAGTTAGAGATTGAATATTCCCATCATTTATTTGGCTAGCAGGACAAAATACGTAAACAAAAAACGAGCTCAGATTCGATAAGTGTTGATTTGACTTCGTTTTTTACAACGTGGTCAGAGCGACAGGGAGACCTTGTGGAACGTACTTAGTTCTGTGTCCCCAACCATAGTATGCATGAAAATTTCCAGCATCGCATTCTTGACTTGGTAAAATTCACGGATGTTTTGCTAGCACCGTCAGTGAGAGGCGCCATCCTCAGCACATAGTTACAAGTTATCAAGGTGACAAGGCAATCCCCTTGATAAATTTTCTGTTCACCCTCCCCATTTGTCCTAGCTTCTCTCAACTCCAACTCATTTATCTACTCATACCATGCTGTGTTCTCATTTCCTCCATCGTTATCTACGAGTGATTCGTTTCGAGTGGATTAAATAAAGCAGTCAATTTGAGTTTCAGAGAGGTTCTGATTTTCATCTAGCCCCCCATGTAGCCCGCTTGCCCTTTGTTCCCTTCTACAAATGCGAATCACTGCCTAAAATCTAAGTGTCTATCAGCCTTTGATTTCAGCCTCCGTTTGTGTAGTATTTCAGGATTTAAAAACCGGTGATTCTCATGCCTAGACATCTTCTTCTATCTAGGGTTCAAACCCAAGATCAAGTCTTCCTCTTTTTCATTCCCTCATCCTCTCTGCTTCTCTGGGACCGTGTGCATAGTTTGATTCAGAATCGCTCGTTTGAAGACGGACCGCCTTCCTTTTACTTGACTTAGGAGCAGAGAAGGGATAGGAAATAATGAAAAGTCAACAGCACGAATCAATTAAGGGACAGTCTGAATATTCAAAACTTTACGAGATGGTGAAAATGCAACTTCAAATAGTGCAAGATAATCTGAAAGATTACCTGGATGCATTTCTCGCGGACCTCGTCCTGCCGAGGATGGCGGCGATTAAGCAGGGTACGTCCAAGACTCAGACAGATACTGAAATTCTCTTCGCGAGCGTCTATCTCCGCTTTGACGCTACGGTGGCTGTTAATCAGCAGCTCGACTGCTGATACGTCCCTAAAAATGGAAAAGGGAAAATTATGCAGCTAAACTAAAATGTAAATTTGGTTAGCTAAATTCAGCAGATAGTTAAGTAAAAAGATTGGTAAAAGTTTGTCATC